TTTCACTTCTTTCAGACTACAACGAAAAGCAGCTTCTTTTGTAGACATGATCAATTTCCCTGAATATATGACTGATTCAGAATTTTTCTCTATCTTCTCATAATTTACAAAAATTCTATACACAATATGATGAACTCCCCTTAAAAACATTCAAAGTATTTTATTCTTTCTCCTTTTTTCCCTCCAGAAAGGTGGTTTTATTAAAGCATGGGGACAGGACCTGTGGGGATAAAGAGCTGCCTTCTTTCTCCCTTTTCATTCTGCTTCTCATACCCATCTTTTTTGAATGGCCAGGTTTCTCATTCTTCTCTTCTTTCTATACCATTTCCTTTCCACCAATATTTGAACCTTTTGGAGGCTCATACTGCTTTGTACTCGTGACGCTCTTAAAAATGAAGTTATAATACAAAAAACCCTTTAGGACAAAATGAAGGCTAAACAGACAAGCACTTCAAAGCACACTGAAGAATCCCTCTCACTTAATGCACATAAAAAAACATACACAATACAAGTCAAACATAGCACACCATTCAGATCTGTTCCACATGATACTCTTTAACTAGAAATTGTTGTGTCAAGTGAATTGGTGAGTGAGCCTTTGTTTAAAACCATAATGTCGAGGGGCGCCTGGGTGGCTCAGTCGTTAAGCGTCTGCCTTCGGCTCAGGTCATGATCCCAGGGTCCTGGGATAGAGCCCCGCATCGAGCTCCCTACTCCGCGGGGGGCCCGCTTCTCCCTCTCCCTCTCCCGCTGCTTGTGTTCCCTCTCTTGTTGTGGCTCTCTCTGTCAAATAAATAAATAAAATCTTAAAAAAAAAACCAATAATGTCGAAATACTGCTGCTTATAGAATATTTGTTTAATGTTTTTGAGTGAAAATATGCTGTGCTGGAAAAATGACTTGTCAGAAAAGTGGCATTATGGCTATCGTGGTGAAAAGTTGTATACTGAATAGTCACTATGGGTCAACAATGATAAATACAAAAAATTTAGCCTGATGTGTTGAAATTCCATTCCAAAATCTTTAAGCATTTAAGTCTTATCAGATGTTTGAGCCAAGTTTTAGCTGTCACCATTGGGAACGGAAGGAAGTGTGCATGTCCACACTTGAAATGGAGCAACAGGATAGAAGGGGGGACAACTTAGAACACGAGGGAACTAGACATCCTCAAAGCTTCTAAAGAGAAGATGAACAGGTCCAATATAAAGGACTAAGAGTCAGATGGAATCAAACTTCTCAACAGCCACATGGAAAGCTAGAAGACAATGGGGAAAAAGCCTTTAGAACTGTAAGGAAAAAATATTACCAATCCTGAAATTGTTTCTAGATTATTCACTTGATTTTTAAAAAGATAACATCAGTCCACAGCTCTGTGATTGTATGTATTCTTAACCCCTCACAAGCCTAAAAAGTAATCTCCTGGGAACACTGTCTCAGGCCTATTTTTAACATTATAATCATTGTAAAGTGTTGCCTGTGACAGATTTTATAACAGGATGCCCTAGAAAGTTGTGAGGTCTTCCTTGAGTAGCCCTGCCCCCCTCTCATACCTGCCTCTCAAGGAGAATTCATTCTCCTTTTCAGAACTCCAATGTCACTTATTTTGTATTATGATTAATTGTCTCATCGTTAGATTGTAAGGGTCAGAAGCTCAGCTTAATCTTCTTACTACACCTGATGCCTAGCATAGGACTTTGAACATGGTAGGTGCTCAATAGCTGTGAGTTGAATGCTCCTACACCTGGAGTCATTTTTTATCTTTGGAAATCTGTTGGAAAACTTTTCCATTATTTCAGACTTCCTCCCCAACACCACTCCTCCCTCAAAGTAAAAAAGAGAAAAAGTTCTCTCAAAACCATGATTTCCTACAATTTGTTGCATAGGAAAAAAAAAATTAATGTTGAAATCCTGAGGTCCGATCACACTTCATCCCCCGATAATATTTTCCTTCTTTCATTTAAGTATCAATCATTAAGAGAAATAACTATTTATTACACTCAGTTCATTAATCGTTGCTCATAAATATTTGAATTGAATCACTCCGATTGAGATTTGGTAATAAAATACGCAATTTGAAGTCTTGCTTTCTATCAGAATAGTTGATTTCACAACTTTTTAGAGCTTCAAGTGTACTCTTTTTCTGAATTGTACAATGAATGAATCCAGTTTGACCCTCACACTGGTGAACATTCATTCCTTGGAACTGGAAAAGTATATCCATTTAGCTTCTCTAGACCGCATGACCAGGCGGTACTATCTGCCATTTCTTTTTATAAAAGCATAATACTATAAAAGTATGAATGTACTAGTGGGAGTATAAATCAGTTCAACTTGAAATATGTAGAAAAAAAATATTTTTTTTAAAGTTTTTATTTATTTATTCATTTACGTTATCTCTACACCCAGCGTGGGGCTCCAACACATTACCCAAGATCAAGAGTCCCATGCTTTTCTGACTGAGCCAGCCAGGTGCCCCTATAGCAAAAATCTTAATTTCATGTATACATTTGACCCCCAATTTCTACTCTTGACACTTTATTTTATGAAAAAGCATGCACAAATTTAAATAATTGCATATGTACAGGTTTAAAAAATCATAGCAGTAATTATAATAGTCAAATAAGAAGAAATAACCCATAAACCAGTACTAAGTTTGTGTAAAGAAATTGTGTTGTAACCACCTAATGAAATGCTATGTAGCCTTTAAATATTCTCTTTTCAATAGGTGAAAAACTAAGTTTCAAATGACAGAAAGAAAAAGAGGAAGAAGGAAAGAAGGAAAGAAGGAAAGACCTGGAAACCTATATACCAGAGGTCTATATTTCAGTGGTCTTTCCTGAGTGAGAGTGCAGGTGACTTTTATTTTCTTCTAGGTGTTTTTCTGCTTTTCCAAGATTTTAAACAATAATAGTTTTTTTTAAATCTGACAACAGATTTTAATAAATAAAAGTTCAAAACAACCCAGAGCATACCATAATGTAAACTATGGACTTTGGGTGATAATGCTGTGTCATTGTAGGTTCACCACTTGTAAAAAATGTATCACTCTGCTAGGGAATGTTGATAGCGGGGGAAGCTATACATGTGTGAAAGTGGGGAGTATATGGGGTATCTCTGTACCTTACACTCAATTTTGCTGTGACCCTAAGACTGCTCTAAAAATGAAAGTTTATTAAAGTAAGTATAAATAAGTAAATAGGAAATAAAAGGGGAGGAAGTCAAAGCATTTGGACTGCTGTTGGGTAAAGTAGTAGCTTCAGTAACTAATCAGTAACTAACTGATTTTGTTAATCACCTCTATCCTGCTTGTCCCTTCTTACTCTCTAAATCACATCTTCTTTAAAACAATGGAACCATGCATAATTATAAGTTTATATTTTATATAGGTCTCTAAGTAGTTTATGAAACATTTTACTATTTAAGAGAAATAAAGATGTCTCAAATTTGAGAAAAAGTGATTTAGAGTAGAACTTTGTTGTGATGTAATAATTAAACCACCTTCTGGGAAGTATCTAGCATCTCTAAGAAAATGTTTTAAGTAATTTTCTGATAGACTTTGGTCAGGCTCTTTAATCCAGGACTCCTTGGAAAAATGACTGATCTCAGATTTGGAGCAGGAAATGTATAAAATGATCCCGGAACATCTTGTCCTAAAGAGAAAGCAAAGAAACTATGAAAGCCTACTGTGATCACATCAAAAGGATACAGGAACCAACTTGAAGAGGCTCCCATTGACCAAAGTGATAATTTGAACATTAAAATGAAGAATGATAACCATAATGAATTAAATGTATCAGCAGGTGTGAAAGTTTAAGCATTCATATATGTTAACATTAAATCACACTGAACATCTTTAGAGGATGCCAGAGAACCAACTCATTTGCCCACTAACAAAAGTTTTCCCACCTCTCCATAAGAACTGTACCTTGGGGAAATCATGTAGGAAAATTCTTTCTTATAGAAGAATTCTAGATTGGAAATATAGAAGAAGTAATACAATTACAACATCACCATACATCCCTTAACAAAATAATAGATCTAGGAAATGATCATCAATGGCTGTGAAAATCATTAGGTGAAAAGTTGGTGGGAAACTCTATAATGAAAGGATTAGGCCAATGGCACCAGAAACCAAAGATCAATCCTAACATCACAAAAAGAGAGAGCATTAAGTACATTATATGCCTCCTGATGTAATAGAAAGTGTATTACCACCAATAAACTATTTTTGGAAAAAAAATTCAGACTTGAGTATGATCAAGGCCCTATATCTAACTACCAGTTTACAGGAAATTCAGAGAATTGAAGAACATTGTGGGATGGGGGTAAGGGGGTGAGAAGGAGATGCAACTGGCAAAATTCAGAAAATGGGAAATTTTATATAAATACAGATAACCTAGGTTCTTCAACATCAACAACAAAGTGACAGAGAGAGAAGGAGAGAGAAAGGGAGACTATAGGTTAAAAGAGACCTAAGAAATATATCAACCATTGTGCAATGGGAAGAAGACATTGTTTGTATCCTGTAGAATAAAACAATTGTAAAAAACAAACATATGAGATGATAGAGGAAGTTGGAACACTGGCTGGATATTATATTATTTAATGATATTAAGGAAGTATTGTAAATGTTTCTTAGTGATGTTAAAGGGGAGAGAGAGAGAGAGAGAGAGAGAAAGAGAGAAGAGATCTTAAAAATACAAACTCAAATTCTGTAGGAGTGGAAAATTTCCCTCTATCCTCTTAGATTCTCCAGCTGGATCTGCAAAAGACACTGACAACAGACAGAGTAACAGAACAAAAGGCAGACACATTTATCTGATGTTAAAAGTTTTGCAGAGCATGAGGGGACTTCATAGAGTGAAGAGAAAAGCCCCCAAAGAAATGGGTATGCTTGGAGGCATTGATACCAATCTGCCAAAAGAGGATAAATTAGAAGTGACAAGATGAAGGAAAGAGGCTTTGAGCTTCAAGAGGTGGCAAGCTGGGCAACTTTCCCGAACCCGCACCTCTGCAGGAGGCCGCAGCCAGACCCGCGCCGGAACCATGTTTCGCAACCAGTATGACAATGATGTCACTGTTTGGAGCCCTCAGGGCAGGATTCATCAAATTGAGTATGCAATGGAAGCTGTCAAGCAAGGTTCAGCCACAGTTGGTCTGAAATCAAAAACCCATGCAGTGTTGGTTGCATTGAAGAGAGCACAGTCAGAGCTTGCAGCTCATCAGAAAAAAATTCTCCATGTTGACAACCATATTGGTATCTCAATTGCGGGACTTACTGCTGATGCTAGACTGTTATGTAATTTTATGTGCCAAGAGTGTTTGGATTCCAGATTTGTATTTGACAGACCTCTTCCTGTGTCTCGTCTTGTATCTCTGATTGGAAGCAAGACCCAGATACCAACACAACGATATGGCCGGAGACCATATGGTGTTGGGCTGCTTATTGCTGGTTATGATGATATGGGCCCTCACATTTTCCAAACCTGTCCATCTGCCAACTATTTTGACTGTAGAGCCATGTCCATTGGAGCC